TTATGTTGAATTGAATGCACGTTTATGTGAGATTTCTTTTTTGGGAAGAGAGGGAAAAAATGGGAGCACAGTTAGCTAACTCTGTTGTTGCCTTTCCATTTAGATCTTACGCTGATTGTCCACGACAATAAAAGAAAGCATTCTAACTTGTTGCCTTTTTGTTGTGAATGCAGGTATGTGACTGTGCCACACTGTTTAGAGTACACATTGTTTTATGTACAGTTCTGAAATATATTTCTGCATTCCTTTCATTTGGGAAATTTAAGATGGAGATTAATTGTGTTGAGGTTCTTCTATTTTGTTTGTATAATTTTACCACTATATTGGCACACTGCAAGTGGAAACGTAATCCTCAGAATAACGAAGGATTCCTGTGAGATCTTACGCCGATTGCCCGCCACAATAAAGGAAAGCATTCTAACTTGTTTTGTGATCTTGTTGGTCAGCGTTGGTTTTCTCCTTGGAGTCTCCCATGGAGGCCATTTTTGCCCAGCCTCTTTTTTATTGTTCATCGTGACCTCTGACTTTAACTGAGCTGCATGAGGCCTGCAGGTCTTTGGATGTTGTTTTAGGGTCTTCTGTGACCTCCTGGATAATTTTGGCCAGCCGGCCGCTCCTGGGAAGGTTCGGCACCGTTCCAGGTTTTCTCCATGTGTGGATAACGGTTCTCACTGAGGTTTACTGGAGTCCCAAAACGTCAGAAATGTCTCTGTAACCTTTCAGTCTGAAAAAGTTGAGTCCATGAGGAAACCTTCTGACTGAAAACAAACGTGTCTGAGGATTCAGCTGATCGATGCTCCCAGCAGTCGGCGTTAGGTTTGGTAAAGAGATAAAACCATCAGACCTGACCTTTGAGTTCAGATGAACTGTGGGGTCCACATAGCTGTGGTTAGATGAACTGTGGGGTCCACATAGCTGTGGTTCTGATCTTTAGGTGCTTTTAAAGGTTTAAATTAACTTCTGTTCTTCAACACGTGTGGCCAGATGTTCCCCATGGTTCCCAAATCTAAAAAAACAAAATGTCGAGTTTTTAAAGTTTTATTTAGAGGTGAAATCTTTAATGTATGTTTGATCTTTATTATAAGTTGTCATCTATTCATTTTCTGCTTCCTGTCTGGATCTGCAGTCTAAACAGTCAAAAAT